TTTTTGGGGCAACAAATATCCAACTTTGTGAAGAATTTTCAAAAAATATGAGCATGAAATTTGAAATGAGAATGATGGGTGAACTCAAATATTTTCTCCGACTACAAATTAAACAATCGTGTGAGGGCATTTTCATAAATCAAAGTAAATACATATTAGACATGTTAAAGAGATTCGAAATGAATGATGTAAAACCGATGAACACTCCGATGAGTACTTCCATAAAGCTTGACAAAGATGAACAAGGCATTTCCGTTGACATCACTAAATATCGAGGTATGATCAGATCCTTTCTCTTCAAAACCGAGCCCTAGTTTTCAAATCTCACTTCCCCCATTGTTTTTGCTCCTAATCCACCTATAACTCGACAATCCCATCATTTTTCAAAGATTCTCCAACACTCTATACCCTCTATTCAACCACTTCAATCCACATTTAGAAAATCTTCTCTCAAAGCCCTACCAATTCGAAAATCCCCAATCCTTTAAAAAAAGATGTCGACTTCATGCGGTAGAGGCAAGAGGATCAAGCACACCATTCATCGCGACGAAGAAATGGACTTTGAAACTGAGACGACGCCAACGAACCCCTTTGCAAAGCTACCTATTTTACTACGTAAAAACGATAAATTTTCCCTCATTTTCTATTGATGCACCCGAATTTAGGATTGATAAATTTTTCATAACAATGGGTTGGGTATCAATTTGCTCATTAGAAGAAAATGTTTATCCTCATTTAATGTAAGAATTTTATCAAAACATGACCTTTTCTTCACGACAATGAGATATTTCGTGCTTTATCAAAAACACTCGCATCACGTTTTCAAAACCACTCATCCGCACTCTCCTTGATTTTGAACCTTGTGATGTCCAAACCTTCGTAAACAAAACCCACCATACGGTGGAAGACTATAACCCGATCGATGCTTGTCGTCGTGTCACGGGTAGGGATTTTGAAAAATCACTAAAATTTCAACAAATCAATTCACTCTACCTTGTAAAGTTTTGCAAAACATCATTGCCAACGTTATTCTACCTAGGAAGGGGCATTGGGATGAAGTAAATTGTTTTGACCTCTTCCTTCTTGACTCTTTCCTTGTCAGTCAGCAAGTTGATTTTCTGACCATTGCATTAGGTCTTATGAAATTCATCCGTTCATCACGTGTAGCTAAGGCACTTCCCTATGGCATGCTTTTAACCAAAATCTTTCAACATTTTGATATTCCTCTTCATGACGAAGCATTCATTAAACCCCGTCCCATTGACACCATTAGTTCCATCACCCTTAAACGCGTGTAAACTGTTAAGAAAAATGGACAATGGGTAGCTGAAACAAAGTGGTTTGACCCGTCCTCTAGGCCGTCTACGTTACCAATTGAAAAAGATGATTATGATGACGACGACGACGACGAGGAGGGCGCGGCTCCTACTACCGATAGCTCAGGGTCGAGAGCTCCCCGACCTACTAGACATGGCCATGACGAGGACCAGCTTTCACTTTTGCATGGACGGATCGACTATCTTATTGCGAATGTCGACGAGATGAGCGGGGAGCTTCATCATGTACAGACACAACAGGATGTGATTCTTGCTTCGACAAGCCAACATGCAGGATCAGCTGACCGTCTTCTTTGCCGACGTTCTTGCTCGACTCCTGCATTCGCTTCCTCCTCCAGCACAATAGTGTATTTTGACTTAAATCTAGTTTGACTATGGTTGATCATTTTGATTATGTATTGCAATGACTACTTGGACTATGTATTGCAATGTATGGCCCTTATTGAATTATTCTTGCTTTCCAAATTGCTTATCATTACCGTACTTTTTGCTTATGCCAAAAAGGGGAAAAGATGGAGATATAGATTTACATAATCATGCTTAACAAGGGGAATATATGTTAACCATTTTATTCCTCATCAATTTGTTCAACTTATACTTTTTGCAAATCATCGTGTTTGTCATAATAAAAAATGGGGAAATTGTTGACCTATGGTTGACTTCTCGTTTTGATTATCACAAACAAATTATGTTTATTGCTAACAAATTGATTTCAAGTGTCCCTAGTGATTATTGCACATGAATAAAATTGGTGACATAA